CTCCTTGATGTATTGCATTGTATACCGTGTTTATTGTTGTTTTCAAACTCCCTCGTACAAAGGAGCCAATCTCATTTCTGAGTGTTTGCAAATTAAAATTAAATTAATTAAAATTAAAATTTAGATAAAACCTAATCCTATAGTGATTATTTGACTCCTAACTAATTTTATTAGTGTTCTAATTATCACTATTTTCATCAAATCTTTTGCTTTTTTAATCATTATCATTATTTTTAGGCGAAAGAGCAGCAGACCATATCCCACAAGGAGGCATCAACAAATACAGCAGAACAACTGAAGGTAAAGAATTTTGCTCAAGTTTTGAATTGGACTTCATTTTTTGTACTACATTTATTATTATTTTAAAGGCCAAAGTGCAGGAACCAATATCTGAGGAACAGGACTTTTCAAACACGGCTGAAATACTGGAGGTTTATTTTTTTTTTGAATTTAAAAAAATAATTTTTGATGATTTGTTTGATTTAGAAAATGTCCCTGGATGATTTGGTTGATCCTAATATCAGTAACAAGTTGTTCAGAGGAATTGTCTTTCAAACCGTTCTTGAAAAGTTACCAGCTACAATGCCCACATTTGATCGTCTCAACCATATTTCAAAGCTTAGAGAAGAAATAGGCGATATTTCTTTAAATTTGTCTGATATTCCCTGGCATAAAGTTGTTGTTGATAACAAAAAAATTGATGCTTACATTGAAGATCTCTCTTTGAAACTGAAGTTTTCCTATGAACATTTTCTGTGTCCTCCTACAAATGTTTGCATAAATACGAGTTGCAAAAATATCGGAAAAGAACTAAGTAAAAACCATGTCCCTACCCAAGTTATTCTGTGTACGACAAATGGTTTAAAAACTGCAAGCTCGTACTCCTATAGGTGTAGATATTGTAAACATGTCTACAGTTATGATATGTATGGCTTAAATAGTAATAAGCATTTTTATGGCAAGAAAAGACCGTACGTTCGGTCAACTCAAATGATGTATATTGAGAGAAATCTAATGGAATTTAAGAGACAACTTTCATTACATAGTCAAGTAAGCTTTGAATCAATAGCTATATGCTATAATTATGCCTACAGAACAGAAAGTAAACTAGTCTCTCAGGTCTTTGAAACCTATGGAGATGACTGTACACAATCGGAAACTGATGAAGATTAGTCTGCTACAATAGATGAGTCCATGTATTTTCTGAAATATCACTTAAACAGAAAACAAGTAAGTAGTGGATTCTGGGTTTTTCTCATAGAAGAAGAATATCATGAAAGTTCCTCTGACTTCACCTTCTCTGGATCTCAAGCAGTGTCTTTTAATTCGTTTATGGACAAAGTAGATACATCAAGAAGAAATAAACTGTATGACCATACATGTCAGACATTTTAGTGAACCTCGAGCTTGTTCCAAGAGTACAAGCATGGATGGAATATGGAAGATAAGGTATGTATGTTAAAACCTTATAAATATTCATAGTCTAAAGTATTTACTTTTTAGATACAAAACGTGCTCAGCGGTTAGACCAAGGAAGGAAGTAAACATTGCTACAGACAAATATCCTCGGAACTGCACTAATAGCCCCAAGCCTGGCTCAGCTTTTTGTAATGATTGTGGAGAATAAATAATTAAATTAGGTAAGGATTCAAATATTCTATAATTTTCATTCTTTGCTTTAATGTAAAATATTATACTGTACAATGTACTTATATTCATTATATATTATATAAATATTATTATATAATGCTTTCAGGTATTCCAGTGGATTTGCGTGGTTTCTTGAAGTATGCAGGGTGTAATGTTGATGCTTACACTATCTCTGATAGAAAGAAGAAAAACGATTTTCTAGAAAAAAGATAATATTGTGTACATATATTCTTAAATTAAATAACAGAAAATCATACGGATACATTTTATTGTTTTTTTTCTTTCCTTTAATTAGAAATTTGGATTTACGGATACTTGGATCCTGCAAGACATACAAATTGAAGAGTGTAGAGAATAAATTGCTTATATTTAGTCGTTGACAAGGATTTTTTTTGAGATTCATCTGCATATAACCGGGCCGTTTAATGAGGAAAATCTGTTGAGTAAGCATTATAAAGTTTTTATGTAACAATGGTATAATGTCAATGAATGCAATATGGAAAAAACTACGATTGTACTGACAGAGAACATTGAAAGTTCGTTGTTAGTGTGACATTACACTAGTTAAAATATATCGTCTTGATGCTAAATAGCCGACGTAATTGTGTAATACGATATATTCGAGATACATACTGGCGAGGAACATTGATGGTTCCTTCCTGCATGTTCTTTTCTCTATGTAGTTAATAATCTATACAGCCAACGTGGCGATAGCAGGCATCAAAATCAAGAAATGTTAAATTTAAAAAAGCTTTTTGGAGAAGCATTTAATTTCAATTGTAACAAGGACGCATTAAGCTTAAGAACTAGACTCACATAGAACATTAGTTCTGCACTACTGACTAGAACATTGGAGAGAGATTAATGTTTAACCTCTTCATTTCTCTCAGATAATCAAGGTATAGCAAGGTATGGTGCACATTTATATTGTGCAGGGATTTAGAGATATCAATGTAGCGTAGTTGTCTCCTCTTCTTGAGACATCATGATTTCTAGGTGGTGAGGTTTGACGGTTCAGGAGGCGTTGCAGCTTCCACAGACTAAATCAGTAAAAAAAGAACATTAGTTTATTGTGAGAGAGGATTCAGGGTATGAGAAAAGATTCAGATTTTAAACCGGAGTCCTCATAGTTTATATGGATTGATAGAGATTTAATTATTAAGATGTTTAAATTATAGAGACTAGGCTTTAATGAGGGTTTTTATTTCTATATTCTTTAATTAACCTTACGGACATAAAAAGTCTTTTTTATACAAATTTGCATTTCTTGCTTGCAGTAGCAAAGTTTTATGTCCGAAATATTGAATTAAAGGGTAAAGGATGAAAAGAAAAAACCTAAAAAATAGCATGTGCATTAGTTTTCGTGCAATATGGTTTTAACCTTAGTTCTTGCTTGCATTTGCAAGGTTTTATGTCCAAAATATTAATTTAAAGGGTAAAGGGTGAGATGGAAATCTTTAAACTAAGACAACTGGCATTGCATGCTCAAAGTTTGAATTTTGTTAGACATGAAATCCAATAGCGTGTACATTAGTTTTCGTGCAATGGGGTTTCAACCTTAACAATCCAAAATGATCCGTGTTCACGCTCCTGCTCTCTGTATATAAAAGGTTAAAAATTCATTGTTAATGAAGGAAATCTGCCAGTCATCTCGGGGACTTATGGAAATATATTTTTTTACCGTTATTATGTGCTGAGTGATGAAGCTGTAGGATCCGCTAGGTTCTCTGAGTTTCTCCGCTCATTCGTCCTCCAGGTTTCAGTTTAACTAGGTAAAGAGAGAACCATGACGAAAGGAAAAAGTACGAGTCTGTCGGGGTTTTAATTAAGCGTGTTACTAGAGTTCTAATTCTACAGTTTCGAGTATCATTGGAAATCGAGGCTTGAGTTAAAAAATTGCACTATTAAGTAAGAAATTCGATTTTAGACTACTTTAATATCCTGGTTGTTTTAAATCTGAAGTATCAAATTATAGATTAAAAGATGAGAAAATCTTTAAACTTAGACAACTGCCATGGCATACTATAAATTGAAATTTTAATTGAATAATTTTAAATAGCATGTACATTAGTTCTGGTTCAAAAGGGTTTCGACCTTTGGAATCCACAATGATCCTTGTGCACGTCCCTGTTCTCTGTATAAAAAGGATTAAAAATTCTTTTATAATGAAGGAAATCTGCCAGTCTTCCAGGGGACTTATGGAAATATATTTTTTTACCGTTATTTTCCGCTGAGAGGAGAAGCTATCGGATCCACCAGATCCTCCGAGTTTCGCCGCTCGTTTATCCTCCACGTATCAGTTTAACTAGGTATAGAAAACAATTTATGGAGAAGGAAGATAAAGTTCATATGTGTTCCTTTGATATTAAAGCTCTTGGGATTTAAAATATAATGTATTGATAACGTTTTAATTCCAGAATTTTGAGAATCATTGGAGTTCCAGACTTGGGATTTAAGCCGTATAAACAGGCACTTAAACAAAGTATTTAAATTGCAGTTACTTAATATTACGTAACTTCAAGCATTACTTTCAGAGGCGTGATGTTAAAATTGCATATACTTGATGTTGCATACTTTCAAGTTTTAATTTCAGAGAAGTGATTTTCCAGATTAAACTTTTAAAAGTCAAAGACTAATTAAATAAGACTTGGCCGTGAAAAAAAGATTTTATTTTTAATTTTAGTACTGGATATTAGTCGTAGGGTAGGGATTCTTGGAATATTAAATAGACATAGCTAGGTGTGACTATCGGAAAATTTTAAATCCTAATTTAATTAAATTCCTTGACCTCAGAAGGAGAAAATGTATATACAGCACACTACCGTAGAAAGGGGTTTGCACGTATTCCCACTGCATCAAATTAACTCATATATAATCATTTTTTACCGTAATTATCTGCGTTGTAATTTGCAAATCTGAGATCTGCCGTGATCTAGAACCACATGTCAGCGATCGAGCGATTCTTTGTCTCAACCTGCTCCAGCATTCAGGTCCAGATGGTTTCTCATATAACTATATTACAAAAATTGCGAATTTAAATAAATATGTGGAAGTTTAAAAAAAGAATAATAAAAGCTGGAAATTGTAAAATTATTTTCAATAGTGAAAGAACAGTTCTTTTTTTTGTTAAGTTCACCTTAAAAAATTAATTTTTCCTTCTTAAGAAATAGAAAAGCCCAATTATACTATCAGGAGTATTTGCAACTGTAATAAATAGAGGCATCAGAACAGTGCAGTTGAAACATGTCGGACATTTTATTTTTTTTATTTTTTGAAGAAATCATTAGATTTCATTACAATGTATAACATATGAAGGGACAGAGAAAATCTTTTTTCTATTCCCATTCCGTTTTGTGAAATTTATCCTTACCGATTTCCTCAAGCCATTTAGCCAGGATTCACTCCTCATGTTTGAGAAAGTTGAAATCTTAAGGCAGTAGGATTATAGTGAGAAATAGGATGGTTTTAAGAGCTTTCTTAATGTCAAAAAGTAACATAAGTCAGCGAAAATAGGAAATATTTTAAATTTGTGACTATCACTGATAGATAATCAGATAAGTTGGCAAAAATAGGAAATATTTTTATGTTTAGGATTAAAAAAGTAAAAATACTGACAGATAGTAACATAAGTCAGCAAAAATAGGAAATATTTTTATGTTTAGGAGTTAAAAAAGTAAAAATACTGACAGATAGTAACATAAGTCAGCAAAAATAGGAAATATTTTTATGTTTAGGAGTTGAAATAGTAAACAATACTGACAGATAGTAACATAAGTCAGCAAAAATAGGAAATATTTTTATGTTTAGGAGTTAAATAAGTAAACAATACTGACAGATATTAACATAAGTCAGCAAAAATAGGAAATATTTTTATTTTTANATATTGCGGTTCTAAATATGCCTGTACAGGTTAAAGAGAGAAGAGATTGAAGATGGAGGATGTAGAAATATTTTCAAAGGGAAAGAAAGGTTCTTTGTACAGTTTATTTTTAAAAAATCATTTCCCACTTCGTAAGAATTATGAACGCAGGTTTATACTGTCAGGAGTGATTTACAACTGAAAGGAGTAAGAGAGGCATCGAAGTTTCCAGATTTTTAATTATACCCACATTATATATCGAGATCGAACTTATTTTCGAGCATTTAACCTGTACCCACATCGGATATCGAGGTCGATCATATATTATCATATTTAAACTGTGCCTACGTAAGAAGTTTTCAGAATTTAACTATGCCCACGTTAGATATCGAGCTCAATCTTTAAACTGTACCCACATTGAATATCGATATCGGTCCAGTATTATCATATTTAAACTGTACCTACATTATATAACGAGAAGAGTCGTCCATTCTCATAACTAAATTATGCTCACATAGGATATCGAGATCAATTTAAAATTCTCATAAATAAATTTTTACAGTTGACTGTAAAAAATCAATCTTAAATAATCTTTTTTTACCGTAATTATCAGCGTAGTAACTTGCAAATCTGAGATCTGCCGTCATGTAGAACCGCATGTCAGCGATCACGCGATTCTTGTCTCAAAACTGCTCCAGCATCCAGGTCCTGATGGTTTCTCGTCTAACTATATTGCAAAAATTGCCATTTTAAATATATCTGTAGAGATTTAGAAAGAAATTTAAAGGATGGAATGGATGTTAAATATGAACACTCCCTTTATTTTCTAATGCTCTCTGGTCCAATATCAACCATGTTTGAACGGAGGAATTTGATCTGAAAGGAAATTTGATCTTCAAGAATTTTAAGTTTTTACTTGAGAAGTCATTTCAAACGTAAGTGCAAATAAACAACAAACAAAATCTTATAAAATTATTTTAATGTCCTAAAAATCTTTAAAATATAAATAATTTATCTGCAGTGTTTGCGCTTCTTTTAAATAAAAAATGCCCCAACATTTTGTTCTTTACTGGCCGAACACAGTTTATGCAGTTAGTCTCTTCAACTGTTGATTTATTGATTTGTGATCTGCCCAATATTAATGATACTTTCGTCATTCATATTTTTATTCAACTACAAAGCATGAGATATTACAAATAAGCAATTACAATTTACTATGGAGTTTGGACCCGCCTAACCAGGTTGTTTTGAGTGGTTGGCCCTAAGTTTGTTGATAATGAATATATTTGGTTACACAAATCAAATTATGTGTTTGGATAGGTAAGGAGTTGATTGGAA